AAGTACTTTGGCAGTATTGATTCATCAGAGAATGACCACTCGTGTAAACAGCCAGCAGGGGGCAGCAGCGGCCAAGGAGATGGAGGCGAGGAGCATTTTATCAAGTGTGTCCTGCAGGATCCCATCTGGCTGCTGATGGCCAACACAGACGACAAGGTCATGATGACGTATCAGCTGCCTGTCAGGTATGACACAGGGCAAAATGCTACCAGACCAACTGTTTGATTATGATCTTTTCAGGTGCCTTTCACCAGATGTTATGCTGGTGTTAAGAGGTAGCTTTGGTATTTTTACCTCTTAAGGCAACCTTAAGAGAGGTTTAAAAATGTTGCAAAGACACAAAATAGTTACAAAAAGACACAAAACAGCTGCACATAGAGGGAAAAAAAGGTTGGTACTGTGTCTTTTCAGGCTGGGTCTCCATTGTAGGAGGAGGTAGGGGCCGTTTACATTGTCTGATGATCTCTCCATGTGTGGACCTTTAATTGTGTAGTAGTGTTGAACCAGTCCATAATAATCCACCATAACTCGACAAACAGATTTTTAGTGACAGTTTTTTAAATGTGTGTGTGTGTGTGTGCATAACAGGGACATGGAGACGGTGCTGCGTGAGGACCGCGAGGCTTTGAGGAGCATGCAGAAACACCAGCCACGTTTCACAGATGAGCAGAAAAGTGAACTGAGCCAGGTCCATCCCTGGATCCGTACCGGACGCCTCCCCCGAGCCATCAACATCTCTGTGAGTACACTACAACTCAAGCCTGAGACCTGAAGGGTTCCAACACACAATTAGGCACAAACTAACAGGAAATCCTGCCTGTGTTTCTTTTAGGGCTGTTCAGGCTGCAAGTCTCCCCCCTCTGTGCCTCCCGCCACCCCCTTCGATGTGGAGATCCATGAGATGGAGCTGTGCAGTGTGTTGAAGGCTCAGGAGGAGGGCTCCAGAAAAAAGGGCACGAAAACGTTCTCAGAAACAGCCATGGATGAAGCTCACCCAGAGGACAAAGACGAGGAAGAAGAGGGAGAAGGGAAGGGAACCAAAATACAAGACGTGAGAGCAGAGGAGCAGACGGCGAACTCAGAACATGTGGAGGAGAAGGTGGAGGCTCAGCTGCCTGAGTCTGACATGACTCACTGAATAGGTGGCCAAAGATCAAACAGCACTATCATGACCTTTCTACGCTGACATGCAGAGAGTGTGCACCTTCCAGACTCTGTGTTAAACAGTGTGCATGGGCTCTGCTGGGACATTGTGGTGCGTATTGATCAGGACAGCTGCCACTTATTCTGTGACGGGTCAGGCAGGTCACTTGGCCAACTCAGTGTTTGAGATTGATGACAGTACACCAGGCATGTTGTGTGACTGAATAGTAAAATGCCTTGGAGACCACAGGACACGCACACACAGTTTTTGGGAGTGATTTTTTTTGTGCATTACCACAGTGTCCTCCTTGACCTGTTCAGCTTACGGGGCACGAACAGTGTTTATCAGTGTTTAACTTTACTTCTTGTTGAATGTTTCCCAGCTCAGCTGGGATCCTTCCCTGTTTTTCTCAAGCCTGGATTTGTTTTTTTTTTATGTATAGATCTTACCCCCGTTTAAAATAAAGCCTTCACCTAATGGAAGTATAATGTACAGTGTGACAGGTTATTTTGTAAATATTGTGTATATTTTTATACTTTGATGCACTGCCAGCAGAGAGAGGACAAATGTGTGGCAGTCATCAGTACACAAACCTGGACTTTCAGGGTTTCTCTTCAACAAGGCATGAGTCAGTACATTCACTCCACAGTGAGAAATGAACAATGACTCTAAAAGAATCCTCTCACAAACCATTTCCTCCAAACTGCCAGCACCCTAAGGAGCTACAAAGCTTTCAACAGAGGGATAGATTCTGTGTTACCATTATTTGCTCACTGTGGTAAATGGATTTTGAAAGAGATGGCACCAAAAAGTATTCAGTGTGACTGTCTTCTTTCACTCTGTCCCTCTCTTTCTCCTTGTCTCTGTGACACAGTTCTGGTCATGTGGTATCCTATGCTTTATGGCGTCAGTGGTGTCTGCAAGTTTCTTAATATTTTTGTGAAATTCTTTGTACACAAAAACAGTAAAATGATTTCAAAGGCCTTTAAATGTGCAGTCTTCATTTTTTCCCCCTACTGCACAGTTAGGTGTGTGATTACATCTCTTTGGGGTGTATTTTTGTTTATGGGTGTTTTGTAGCAGTTGGCCTGGAAACTCAGCAGTGTCCTGAAAGAACTGGACGCAGGGCAGTTGCTTTCCTGACCACAGTCTTCTATTCAGCTATGGTTTCTATCCATAGTAGTGACCACTGCTTAAAAAAGACAAAGGCACTGCCTCATTTACACAAAGCAGCAAAGTTGACTCATTGCACATTATAACACTGACAATGATATTCATACTGTATGTGGGTCACTCTGTAAGAAAGCTGTTAATAAACTAGCTTGAAATCTTATCTAAAGTCGCATTACACTTATGACAAAACTACGTATGTTTTGCTGCAGAGGTCAGCTCAAATTACCCATTATTTATTTTTAGGTCATGTATAAGTCCTCTATAATTTCTATTTTGGCAATAGTGTTTTTCATTTTTCTTAGCTGTTTAAAGTGATCTCTTCCACCAAGTAGTTAACTGCCATCACAAATTGTTGGAAAGGAATTTAATTTTCAAAAGTAAGCTTAATTTGATCATTAGTAAATTGCACTTGTGCCCAAATAGGTTTCTACTGTCATATCGGCAACTCTGTGGGGTTGTTTTTAGGCAGTGGTAGGGTTATAATATGTTAACCTTCATCATTTTTAATGCATTACCATGTTTAATACTAAGACAATTTTATTCTGCAGTGAAAAAATATATATTTGAGGGCAAAAACAAATTTCTTTGGAACAAACATTTTGGATGCCCTATATAAATTGCGTGAAATAAAAACAAATTTCATGTAAAACAAATATTTAACACCATTTTCCTTCTTCTTCCTATGGTGTTTATTAGCGGTTTGCAAGCCAACTTAAGGTGCATTACCGCCACCTGCTGAGCTGGAGATTAACACTATTTTCCTAATATTGCAGTTGGTTTTTACGTGAGGGGCGGGCTTAGCGCCCATTGGCCATCTAAGTGATTGACGTTTGACCAACAGTGGTCAAATATGGAGTCACTGCCACTTGAGAACTCTTTGCTGAAATTCGTTTTGCAGCTGGAGAAGAGGGTGGTCGTGAGTCTTTGCTGCAGAAACAAAAGCTACGACAGCGTACAATCTTCCATCGGTGGTGGGTTTAATTTTTGAGTTCCCGAGTCCTCTAAACTTTAACTAATTATTTTTTTCATTTAAAGTTAGTCGGCGTTAATGAGGTTATGATGGTGGCTGATTCTTGTTGTAGCAGCTAATCTTTGCTAGCTAGCCCGACCACGTGGAGCTAACGTCAATGTCAAGTTGTAGACCTTGTAGTAAAGTAAAACAACTTGAGCTAAATCAGACTCCTAATCCTGTTAAATCTAAAAAGGTTTCTGCTAGACTGCTTTGAAGCAATCCCATCCAAAGCAGGAAAAATAATTGGGTTCTAGAGTTTCTTCATTTAAACGAAGGTTACTTCTCTGGTTTTGAACAAGATAATTTCTCATCTTTTTTTTAAGAAATGTACTAAAATCAAATTGTTTTATTCCACCGCAGTTATTTGTCAATTGAAGCCTACTATCTACTTTTCAGAATCAGAAAACAAAATACAGCAGGTACTCAGCACATCTTTACCAGCTGTGACATAAATGTGATAAACGCAGTAATTAGAATCCAATGTATAATGTGAAATGTTCTGTTCTGCATAATGAGCATTTTAAATCTTTGTACTTTAAGTAGTACCACTTTAAATACAGAACTTGTAACATTGTCTTTACAATGTGGTGGTGTGTGCATCTTCCACACTAACTAAAATTATAGTTTAGTATTAGGAGTTAAGTTTTTATGACCACTAAAAAATGTTTGGTATGCTTTTATTTTGGGGGACGTGTTTTGTCAGTATTGCATGTATATATAAATGGGGTAGACTCTGTACAGGACAGTTTCATGCTTTTGCAGTTTTGACTGGTTATTTTAGTGAAACGAGTGGCTCACCCCAAATTTCTTTTGTCTACAGCAAGGTGAGACTGTGGTCACAGCTGTGGATGACGTCCTGTCTGCTTGGAGCAAAACCTCAACAAAGCTCTAGGAGATGGACAGGCTAGAGTCCTGTCACCTCTGGCTGCACTATTTTTAATGCCTTAATCTTAGGACAAATCAAAATCTGTTAAAGCTGACAGTGGTCAAACGCATGAAACCGCTATGACCCAGCAATTAAACCGAATGCAGGTTTGCCATAACCTCCATCTCATTTAGTTTAATTTTTAGGTCATAGCTATACATTTTATGCAAGTGTTTCTGAATGAGGATTGGTGATTGACCACTGTCAGCTACAATTATAACTGAAGTTTTAAGACATGGAATTTTGGTTTGCTTCAACTGTGGGACCCATTCTTGCGATTCATGAAGCTGAAGACCCTATTTGGATGTGGTTCCTTCTGTCACAAGTGTTTTAAACTCCCCCAGGTGGAGTTATTTCATACCAAATCCATTCTCATATCTCTGAATTAAGTGCCTTAGATTTTGTGTTACTCTTTATTTTGCAGCATTCATGTGGAAAGCAAAGTAAGAATTTCAGGGAAACAGTGACTTGAAAATAAAGCATACAAAGAGCATGAGTTTAGTAAGACTTTTATTGCTGCAACACCACACAAATGTCAAAGAAACATGGGTTCAAATTGCTACACCACAAAGTATTTTGCCATTTAGTTGGACCTAAATGTGACAAGGGCACAATCCAAGTACTGAAGTGAGCATTTGGTAATGTTGCAGCTGATGAATAAGCACTGAGAAACAGGAAAGCACAAGTGCTTGTTCATCAATTGCAACATTACCAGCTGCTCACTTCAGTACTTGGATTCTGTGCCCTTGTCACATTTAGGTCCAACTAAATGGCAAAATACTTGACAGAATTTGTGGAGTAGCAGACAGCCATGTTGAACTGATGTCACTCTGGTAGGAGATAGTCAACTGATGTTCACCTTGGTAGAAGGGGGAGAGGGGGAAAAAGGTCATGATTGTAGTATTAATACACAAAGATAGTCTGCCTGCAGTGTGACATAATAGTTCTGTATTTGAAAGAAATGTCCAAATCTAGTTTCTCAATGCATGTAGTTTGTTGTGATGTATATTTTATTACAGCTATAATGTTACAATGTATATTTCAGTACAACTATGTTTACAAATTGCAAGATGTACTGTTGAGAATATTTGGGTATAAATATTTGACAGGGCAACACACCTGATCAGCTCTTTCCTCCACAGTGATGGGGTCCTGTGTAAAACGTTAACCTCTGAGGGCTGATGCATCCTCTGACTCAGTCTGGAAGAATAAAGATACAATTGAATAGCGCATCTCCTCTTGTATAAAGTCAGTTCACTTGAGAAAATGTATGAAATCTTTGAGCGACTAATTCACGTCAATGCACAATGTTGCATGCAGGCTGGAGAAATCTGAAAGTACAACTGTTTGGGGTGGTAGTAATTCCCAATTTACCTTGTTTATCAAACTGCTCAGCTGTGAGTCCTTGTTTCCAGGTGCCAGGAAACTGAAGCACACCTGCAGAAGGTTTGGGGCTGGTTCATCAGCTAACTGAAAACAAGACAAAAGAAAAACACTAGCTGAATACCTAACAAGGCTGGACAACAAATCAATTAGTAATTAAGAGTACACTGTCAATGAGTTAATTTAGATGTCTACACGTGAATGAACTACTCTTCCATCTTTTGATGTAGAGATTTGTAAAAAAAAAAACAAAAAAAACAACAAACTTGAAAATAACTAACAAGCAAACGATTAGCTCCATCAACTTCCGGGTTGCCGCGTTTTTCTAACCGGAAGTAACATTTTTTTACACAACACATCTAAATTTGAAGTCATTCTATTGTAATTTAGTTATCAAAATATTTTATCACAAGGTTTGGATCATCAAGAAAAGCACATCCTTAAAACGCCGCATACTCT